TCCCGCGTTTCTCGATTTTTNGAGAGAGAGAGAGAGAGAGAGAGAGAGAGAGAGAGAGAGAGAGATCGGTGAAGACACGAACCGCTCGCCCGTGGGCTCGCAGGAAGGACGACCGCGGAAGGTCGACTCGTGGAATCGCGAGAGGATGACCCTCGGAACCGAGCGAAACTCGCGAAAATCGTCTCCGGGGGGCCTTGAACGGTATTTCTGCGATCGGCATTGTTCTCCGACCTCTTTCCCTATTTTTAGAACAATCTCCGCTCCCGCGTTTCTCGATTTTTCGATATTATTCGCGCCGCCATTTCGGTGCGAACTTTATCGAGCCTGTTAATCTCTCTATTATAGGTCCCCGTTTGCATATCTATTTTTATTTCCATATTTATCTTTGTTTATTATCGTTTTTATGTTATGTATATATTTGTTATTACTATTTATTTTTATTTACTGTTATTTATATATTGTACATTTATTATTATTTATATATTATATATACGTTTATTATTATTATTATTTATACATATTTATTATTACTATTTATTACTATTTATATATTGTATATACGTTTATATTATTATTATTATTTATTATTATTATTTACATACTATTTCCAGTGCCGTATCATCTACCCTCGTATCCAACAACATTTCCGTTCGTTCTCCGCGCTTCTATATTCCCACGATCTTCGCATAATTCAGCCTGTGTGGCCCAGTTTCTTCCCGCGAAAAATCTATTACATTTATACTCCAGTGAAAAATATACGAGTGATAAAATGACAAGAACAAATTAACGAAGAAAGAATTATAAACTTACAAAGAGAGTTACGCCGACGAAATACTAAATCAATGAACGGAATAAAAAAGCGAATAAAAAAAGACAAACAGCGCACCGCTATCGGTAGAATAAAGATTAGCGATAATGCGTGCGTTCCGCGCGTTCCCGAGGCGACCGGGAATCGAAAGATTAGGCGTGTTCCGGGGGTTCTCGCGGTCGAGTTCCCATGCGCGTTAATCCGAGGCGAGATATAATTGCGCGGCGTGGTCCCACGGAATTTTCGATCGGGAAGGGCCCATCGGAACGAAACGGCCGGGGACAGCGTCGCGACGACGTCTCTCCCTCGAAAAACAGAGAGAGAGAGGGGGAGAGAGAGGAGAGACCCCGTCAACGGCCACACGAATGCCGTTCTCTCCCTCGACCGACCGACCGACCGTTGGCTGGAAACGCGGAATGTCGGGAGAACTTGGCACGCCGCGGCGAGGGAAGCAAAAGAGGACTCTAAATCTCGGATGCCATCGTCAGCGGTACACACAAGCCGAACGAACGAACCGTCGTTCGCGTTGCTGGTCGGGTGCTGTGTTGCTGCTGCTGGGTGCCGCCTTGCGAAACCTCTTCTCTCTCTCTCTCTCTGTATATATACCGTATATATCTCGAAGAATTCCGCGCAACAAAGGCGAAACGAAATTCCTGAAAGACGGCATCGCGCGCGCGCCGTCTTTTCTCTTTTTTTCTTTTTTTCTTCTTCCTTTCTTGCCCCCCTCCCCTCTCCCGCCGCGTCGTCGACGACCACTCGACGACCGACGACCGTTCTCCACCCCCGTTGCGTCGCGACGCGCGCCCAGAAAAAGAGCCTTTGTGCCCGCGGGGATGCGCCAGGTGACGCGACCGACCTGTCCACCACGTGCACGTCGCCCTCCCCCTGTCCCCCCTCCTGTTCTTCAATATATACTTTTAAAAGTCCCATTTTCCCGAGTCGCGTTTCTACAGCTGTGCTGCTCTGCGCGCTTTTAATGGGACACCACCTTCGTCATCAGCTGATGGGCTTCTTCCGGCTGTTCGGAAGCGAGCTTTTACGAAGAAGAATGGTCACGCGAATGGTGATCGAAGGGAGACGCGTGATCGATGATGATCGTTCGTTCAACGTTCGCGAGACATTTAAGACGTTATTTTTACGGATCCCGTCGTTAACGACGGGTCGGGAACTGTTTTTTCGATCGCGGTTGTTCCGATCGTACGCGTAGGTTTTTGAGTTGTACTATTGCTAACTGTAGTATAATTCGTTAACTATTGCTAACTATAGTATAGTTAGCGCAGTTGTAGGCGTTCGGTTTGATATTCGGCTCGACGATGTTGATAGCGAGAGAAAGAGGAAGCTCTTAGGAAGATCAATTTTCTTGAAACGTCGCTTTAATGTAGTAATCAATTCGTAAGTATAATTATATATGAATATATATTATTATATTTATTATGTATATTTTATTATATATTATTATGTATATTATTATTATATTATATATTGAAATGTCGCTTTAATGTAGTAACCAATTCGTAAGTATAATTATATATGAATATATATTATTATATTTATTATGTATATACTATTATATATTATTATGTCATTATTAAATTTATTATATAAATTTCACTATGTATTATTATATTATTATTATTATATTATACGATATACGATTTACGGAGCACTGAAATCAGCTGTTTTATATTAAATTCTAGTTTATAAAAATAACGGTAACACGCATTTACTCCGATATTTAACGAGCCTCATTGTAATATTTGCCGTATAATATAATAATCGTATATCGTATAAAATAATAGTAATAATATAATAATATCTAATAAAACACATATAATAAATACAATAATAACATTACAACATATAATACAAAAAATATACGTGTAATAAATATAATAATATAATAATCGCAACAATCGTATCTCCGCTTCCCAAATCGTCCATTTTCGCGTACGATCCGAGCGTCGATTACGGAGAAATTTACTGCAACTAGTAAATCACGTCTCACCGTTGCTCCGTCCGAGCTCGATTATTATTTCGATCGAATTCCTTCGACGAAGAAATCAAGAAACCAACTATCTCTAGTCATCCGTACGGTGAAACGCGTCAATAAATTCCGTAGAGATCTCGAAATAAAAAATGATTACATAGAATTACAGAGAATTTACGGAAAAATTTCCTACAAAAATCTACAAGATCCTGATCCTAGATCGAACAACAGGCTCCGGCGACAGAGAACTCCGGCAGCTAACTGGACCAACGAAGTACATCGTAGAATTGGCTCGCGGACAATTCTTTCTGGCCTCCCGGGACAATGCTCGCGAAGGGAATCGAACATTGTTGCAGAGCCGAGGACGCGCGTCCCGTCCGGCGAGACTGAACGAGCCACACACGAAGGAAGGACTCTCTTCTCTCGGCCGAGAGAGCCTCTCGGACTCGGCAGGCTGAAAACGTGTGCACGCGGAAAGCGGACGGGCGAGCTGGCCAGCCTAGCAGGCGAACGAGCGAGCGAGCGAGCGAGCTAGCTAGCGAACGAACGAGTCGGGCCCCGTGCACGTACACACGGATTAATCCTTCGCTCGACGGCTCGGCTCAGGTACGCGAACGACCGACGAGGAGGACGTTGGATGCAGACGAACGGTGAATCGGGAGGGACAAGGAGAGGCGAAAGAGAGACCCGGGACGGGACCAGCGACCGAGAGAGAGAGAGAGAGAGAGAGAGAGAGAGAGAGAGAGGGAGAGGGAGAGGTGGGATCGAGAGAGAGAGAGCCGGAGCCACGATCGCGCTCGCACACGCGCGAGCCAAGCGTGGGAAGCTGCTGCACGCTCGGACCCGACTGCTGCACCGACACTGCACCGGGCCTCTCCTTCGCGGACCAGAGTTCGTCGAGTTTCGTGGTACGAGAACGGCGAACGCCCGACCCAAAGTTATATAACACCATCCATCCATCCCGCTGCGTTATCAAAACGGCGCGCACACGTTTTTCTGTTTTCTTTTTTTTTCTTTTTTCGACGCGGATCCGTCGATTCGGTAATCGACGATCGATTTACGTTCGACGATCGCACGGAAACTATGATTGATTCGCGCGTTACGAATGCGTTCCTATGTTATTTTAATATTATATTATATATATATTAATTTAATGTTATTATAGTATTATATCGTATGTAATGTGATACTATAATGTAACTATATATATTTATAATGTAGTATAACTATAATTATAGTTATAATATATATAGCTGTAATTATAGTTATACTACATTATAAATATATACAGTTATATTATAGTATTATATATATAATAATAATAATACTATCATATAACTATATATATTTATAACGTAGTATAACTATAATTATAATTATGGTTATAATATATATAGCTATAATTATAGTTATACTACGTTATAAATATATATAGTTATATTATAGTATTATATATATATATATATATATATATATATATATAATAATAATACTATAATATTAATCGTCTCGTTCCGCGAGACCGTCCGTAGAAAAAGCAACATGATCGTGCTGCTTCTTCGTCCTGAAAATCTCGCAGCGACGTGTCGAGCAACCTCGCAACAATTTCCGCCAAGATCTCGCGTGGCGTCCATACGGTCCGAATGGTCGACCGAGAGTGGTTCGGCGACGAGTTTCCCACCGAGTAATTCAAGGCGGCGTGCGGGGCAGCTACCCCCCACCCACCCTTAGAGCAACCCCCAAAAAATCCCGAAATTGGTCGACCGGTCTCCAGTTACCGTACGGAACACGACAGGCACCCAATGAATTACCGGGAGAGAGAGAGAGAGAGAGAGAGAGAGAGAGCCCTCGTCGGGGGCAAGAGAGAGAGAGAGCCCTCGTCGGGGGCAAAAGAGAGAGAGAGAGAGCAGCCGCGTCGGGGGCAAAAGAGAGAGAGAGAGAGAGAGAGAGAGAGAGAGCGAAAAGGGAGCGAGCGAGCGATCGTCTCTGTAATTTCATACACGGAATTCCGACAAAAGGAGGGATGTCGCGCGGGTTGCAGTCGCGATGGGAAGCGTGGGAGTGTGCGGAGGCTCGCGGGCGAGCGCGCGCGCGCGCGCGGGGCGAGCCACGCATACTGCGGGAGAGCGCGGGCGCGCGCGTGCACCGGCGCACCACCACAGGCACGCGATAATAGGTTAGAGACATAGAGACCGGAACACTCACGGCTATTGCAGTAGTCGCCCTTCCATCCAGAGAGGCAGACCCTCTCGCCGATCGGGCTGCAGCTGTAATGCCCGAAATTGTCGTCCCTCGGCCTGCACAGGTTCTCGCAGCCCTTCCCGTAATAGTAGGCGACGCATGTCACCCGGTACTCGTACACCATCTTCGAGTGGGCGCTCCTGTACTCGTCCTCGGTCCAGTTCGGCCCGACGTCCAGCCACTTCTGCGTGGTCAGCCTCGTTATCAGCACCTTCTCTGCAACACGGAAAAATACCACCACTTCCGTCAGATCTCATAACAATGAAAAACAAAAATCTGCATTTCCGTACGCGTTCGAGCGCGAACGGCGTTTCCGCGACGCCATCGATTTATTCGACTATTTGTCTCCACGGTGGTGGTGAGGTCGACTTTTCGACCATCTTTCATCGTCGCTGCCACGTTCTGTTCATTCCAATGGCCCGCTCTGACTGTTTAGGGGTGCTATTATTGCCATTGTCATTTATTATCATTATTGCCATCGTTATCGTTTATTATTATTATCATCGTTAACATTTATTATTGTTATTATTATTATTATTATTATTATCATTACCATTTATTATTATTATTATTTATTATAATAATAATTATTATTGTTATTAGTATCGTTACCAGTTATTATTGTTATTAGTATCATTACCAGTTATTATTATTATTAACATTACCATTTATTGTTATTATTCTCATCATTACCATTTATTATTATTATTATTATTATTACCATTACCATTTATCATTTATAAAATATTTATAATATTATATACTACATAAAATATATAAAATACTATACTATACTATACTCAAAGAGAAAAAAAGAAAAACAACCCGCCTCGTGAGATCCAATCGCGGCAAGGATTTTTCGTGCGCGCGGATCACCGCAGGTTATACAGGAAATTCGCGTTCGCCTGGACGCCGCGCCGGGGCCCGATTCCGGGGCCCGGGAGTCGGCGGTCCCCGTTCTCGGGCCCAGTTTTCACGGGGGCACTCCGTCGGATCTCGACGGATCCTCCGGACAGCGCGCTGCTCTCCGACTATAATCGAGCCGGTCGAAAGAGAGGCACGAAACCGAAACGCGAGAGTAATTAAGCGTGTCGATCGGCTCTCGGTTCCTGGCGGGACGAGGGGGAGCGGTGTGCTGCGCCGTTGCTGCGCCCAATCATGCGATCGAAGTGCATCGGCCCCGGGCGAGCGAGCGGGACAGTCGAGCAGCAACAGATCCAGAGAGAGAGAGAGAGAGAGAGAGAGAGAGAGAGAGAGGGAGAGGGGAGAGACCGGACGTTCGTCCGCTATTGCTACTCCGCCGGCGGCACGCATCCGGCACAAAGAGAGTAAGCGTATACACAGAGAGCAGCGAGCGAGCGCGTTGTGGCTCTGGGAAAGAGGCGTTCTTCTTTTCTTCTTCCCTCCTCCCCGGGCCGCCCCTCTGCTCCTGACTCCGGCTCCCGCTCTCCTGCCACTACCTGTTTTCGCGGAGAGGAAGAAGAGCAGCGCCGGGCTTCCTACTAAACGCATTATCGTAATGGGCCCCGGCCGGAATTAGGAGAGAGAGAGAGGGAGAGAGAGAGAGAGAGCTGGTCCGCGCGCGGATCAGGTGCCCTACCGAAAAACACCGCCGCGCGTCTCACGATGCAGGGCCCCGAAAGGCCCCGGTTACACGCCGCGCACCGGTCCGCCACTAAATTGCGGGCCCGGATCAAAGTTTTTTGGATTTCCATGTTCGCGCGGAATTCTTTTTCCTCTCTCTCTCGAACAAGGACCCTTTGAAATCGGGAGATTTAAAATATTGCTGGCGACGTTCCGAGAGTTTACGGGACCGGTTACTGTGGGGCGAGACCGATTGCTGTGCGTTTGGATAGTTCTCGCAATTAGCTGAGTATTTGGCGACGAATAAGCTTAGTTTTCTCGTCAAGAAATGAACGGAAATGAAGGAATGAAAGTTTATAATATGTTTTACTCGATCACGTTGATCGGGCCCAAAATGTTGGGCGGTTACTTTGGGCCAGTAATCGGCTGTACCGTCTTAGAGCATTTTAGGTGCGAAATTATGAGATTGCAATTGCAGAGGTTCTTAGGGAATATGCTTTTTTAACGCTGGATTTGCGGAACCCGTGGGAATAATCGCAAAGAAATAGTCGAAATGAAATAATCGAAGTGAAATAAACGAAATGAAAAATCGAAATAAATAAATAATATATTTATTACGGAACCCGGGTCATTAATTTTTTAATTTATGATTATTCATATCGTTAAGACACGTTTACGAGTTATTTATTCAATTTATACGTTATTTACGCTTATTAAATATTATAAATAATAATATTATAAATAAAAAAATATTGTAATATTATAAATAATAACATATTTATAATAATAATATTATATTAATAACGCTTGTTAAAAATCAGAATAAACGTCATATCGTTACTTTTATAAACGAATACATAAAACAGCTGTTCTCCGTGCTCCGTAAATCTAGGATTAAACACAAACGAATCCGTAACCGTGACACAATTATTATTTTGGAAAACGGTTCAGCAATATTCACAGCGTCGCCCCGTTCGACTGCAACGGGTTTAAAAAATATGTTTTTTAACAAATATTCTGGCTGCTAATCGAGAGGAATTCAACGACCTACTGGTGTACGCGACCAGCACCTTGAAACCTTGAAACAACGCTAAAATAATTGAAGCCGCAGAAGGCGAGTTCCCGGACCACTGTGCACCGGGGCCCGCCGGACCAGTTTCGGGGGCCCGTGCGTGCGTGCACGGCTGAGGCCCCCGAGGCGAAAACCGAGCGAGCCCCGAGGCAAGGCCTCGTAGACGTGCTCTATGGTTATGCGATCGCTGGTAGCGTAAGTGGACCGGGCCTCTGTTGTGCTCCCGACACCCCCTTCCGCCCCCCAACCCCTTCCCACCGTCGCCGCCAAGGAACCAGCTTCGTTTCCCGAACGATAGTAATCGACGGTTCGACACCCGGCCCTGGCTCTATTTCTGCACCAGTTTCGAGGATCCGGACGCTCTTCCTCCTGCCTCGCGCGGCGGATCTCATCCGTCGCTCTAATCTACCGGGTGTTCCGATGCGTCCCGACGGTCGCAAATCCTTTCGCATCGTGTCTCGCACATTTTATTTCGATTATTTCGTTTCGATTATTTCGGTTCGACTGTTTCGATTCGGTCATCTTATTTCGATCATTAACCGTTTCGATTATTTTACTTCGACCGTTTCGTTTCGATTATTTTACTTCGACTATTTCGTTTCGATTATTTTATTGTAACGATTTCATTTCGATTATTTTACTTCGACTATTGCATTTCGATTATTTTATTGTAACGATTTCATTTCTCGATTATTTTACTTCGACTATTGCATTTCGATCATTTGATTTCGACCATTGCATTTCGATTATTTGATTTCGAGCATTGCATCTCGATTATTTGACTTCGACTGTCTAATTTCGATTATTTTATTTCGACTGTTTCATTTCGATTATTTTATTCCGACTATATCACATCGATTATTTTATTGCAACGATTTCATTTCGACTGTCTAATTTCGATTATGCGATTTCGACTATTTCGCTTCGATTATTTTATTGAAACGATTTCATTTCGATTATTTGATTTCGACCATTTCATTCCGATTATTCGATTTCGACCGTTTCACTTCGATCATTTTATTTCGACAATCTAATCTCGATTATTCGATTTCGATGATTTCACATCGATTATTTTATCGCAACGATTCCATTTCGATTCTTTTATTCGGACTATTTAATTTCGATTACTTTACATCGACCATTTCATTTCGATTACATCATCTCGACCATCTCATCTCGATTATCTTATCGCAACGATCACCGCGCGCGTATCTCCTCGATCACCACGGCAATGAACTTCATACCAATCAACGCTATTCCCGTAACATTTCCACCACATTTCCACCACATTTTCTTCATCGCGCATCGTTTCATTTTACTTCGCAACAAAAGTCCATCCCCGTATACGAAATAAACTAAAAACGAGAACCAAATAAAACGACAAACCCCACAATCGAAGGGCGCAAAATCTTCTCACACGGTGAAGAAGTTGTGCGCGAGAACGAAGCAGCTTTTTCTGAGGGGACGAGGGGGAAAAGAGAACGCGAGACGACAACAGGAGACGAACGAAATAGGAAATCTATCGGCGGAACGACGACGTGGCGAACGGCGTCGGAGCCAGAGGGTGAAGGTCGCGGCGAAAGCGGATGGGGGGAGGAGGAGAAAAAACGGTCGGAGGATCTCTCTCGAGAGAGGACTGCTCGATCTCGGGCGAGATCCTCGGCTGAACAGAGTCGATGGCGCGTACACGATCCATCTGCAGTGGCGTGCGAACATCGGCGTTTTCAGAACTCGTAACAGCATCACCTGGGAAGATAGCCCCGGCGCAGCTTCGAGCGAACGCGAGAGAGCGAGAGAGAGAAGACGCTGCCGCCTCTCCCTCGAGACTCCCGTTTCGCCGACAGCGAGACGTTACTTCCCTTCTGGGAAGAGAATCGGGCCCCGGTTATCCTGTTTAAGTATCCCCGGGCACGCCATCGGCGAATCCTGTTGCGTTGTTTCGCGCGACCTTTTGTTTTTTCCCGCGCGCTCTCGGCTCCGTCCTCTCTCTCTCTCTCTTTTCCTCTCCTCCCTCCCCGCCCCTCCCGGCGAGCATTTTTATTTTCGCCCTTTTATTCCGTGTTATTCTTGTTCTGGGGGCCCCGGCCGATCGGGCCGGCTCGCAGCGTAACGAAAGGCCCATTTTCTGCCGGCCGGTGTGCGGCGGCACACACGCGAGCAAGGCCCCGGAGACCAGGCCGGACCAGACCAGACACCCCGGGCCAGACGAGAGATATCCTTCGGGATCGAGAGATCGTCCCGGGGGATTCGTAAACGCCGATTTCGCGGCTCGAATCGAATCTTTCCGCCTTCATCGGGCTCCCGCGCTCCCCGAGCTCTCGTGGCGAATCGGCCGATACGAGCCGATCGGAATTGCTTTTCGAAACGATTTGTAGCGTGGCGGAGGAGGGGGGACGCGCCGGCTACGAAACCGTTCCGACAGGGTGCAGAAGAAACAGGTTCAGGGATCCTTCGGAGCTGGTGTTACTGGAGAGAGCGGATAGACGGAGGGCAAAGTGCAGCTGCGAAGCCTAACCTGCGAGCCGAAAGCGGTGTGTGTAACAGTAAACGCAAGGTTCTC